AGGAAGGAAGGAAGGAAGGAAGGAAGGAAGGAAGGAAGGAAGGAAGGAAGGAAGGAAGGAAGGGAGGGAGGGAGGGAGGGAGGGAGGGAGGGAAGGAGGGGGGAGGGGAGGGAGGAAAGGAAAAAAAGAAGAAAAACAAAGGAAGAAGAAAGGAAGGAAAATCTTAGCCAGGTACTGATGATTCACTCCTGTAATCCCAGCTACTTAGAAGGTCCAAGTCTGAGGATCAAATTTTGAAGTCAGCCCAGACAAGAAAATCTGTAACTCTTATCATCAATTAATCACCAAAAAGCCAGAAAAAGAGGTGTACTTCAAATGATAGAGCACTATCCTTGAGCAAAATAGCTAAGGGACAGCACCCAGGCCCTGAATTCAAGATCCACTACTGATGCCAAAAATAAATAAATAAATATTCTTTTTAAAAAATTGAAGGCATCAACTTACTCTATGAAAGAATCCACATTGCTGAAAAGCAAGATTGCTTTTCCAGCTAAGCAATGTGTTTGAGTGACTATTAGTCCAGTTATTCTTAAACCATTTCATTTCTGTCCTTGGGCTTGAGATCCTCAAAACTCAGCCTCCTGAGTAGCTAGGATTCTGTCTCTGGAGAAAGGAAATAATGAGGAAGAACTGAAAGAAGAAAAACATACAAATTTTCCTGTCTCTGCAGACACTGAAGAGGCCGGTGCTCCAGTCCCCACCGGTCTGAACAATCGCTGTGAGTGTGGTCCTCCCACTGGCGCCTCGAACTGGTTGCTTCACCACGGTCTGGGCTGGTCCATGACTCCTGGTGGGGAGAGGAAGATGATGAACCTGGAAACAGAGATGCTTTAAAAAGGCAACCATTAAATAAGACAGAGTAATAAAGAAGAGATAAGAATCCATCCCATTAACACATTAAAGAAATAAATTCCTGAGTCTCACCCCAGACCCACTGTGCATGTCTCCAAGGAAAACCTAAAGAATCAGTCTCCAGGAAATTTCTAGCATCATCCTGATATCTCACTGAAACCTGATTCCTGTAGATTTGGAGACCATGTGACTACAAAGCTTCCAAGTCTTCCACCAGCTCCATAGCAGGTATAAATATCAGAGAGATAGCAAGAGGGTAGAGTTAAGAGGGAAGACAGAGGGGCTGGGAAGGTGGCTCAGTGGTAGAGCGCTTGCCTTGCATGCCAGAGGCCCTGGGTTCGATTCCTCAGCACCACATAAGCAAGAAGAAAAAAGCTGGAAGTGGCGCTATGGCTCAAGTGGTAGAGCGCTAGCCTTGAGCTGAAGAGCTGAGGGACAGCGCCCAGGCCCAGAGTTCAGGTCCCATGACCGGACCCAAAAAAACAAACAAACAAAAGAGGGAAGACAGAAGGAAAATTGGGCATGAAGCCTACACATCTGAAGAGCCAGTGAGACATCAAGAAGAATTTTAGCAAAGAACTAGAAATGATACATCAGTGCTTAAAGGAACGGCTGGACTTCAAGTGTCTTGCCCACTTGTTTCATGGATCTATGAGGAGGAAAACAGGCCTCTCCTCAGCCTCATAGACAAAATCTAAAGTCTAATGAGCCTTTGAAAAGCCAACCTAAGTGTTTGAGACTTGGCAAAAAGTACTGACTCCAAAAAAATTTTTTAAGTGTAAAACACAAATTAATGCTCAGTAAAACAACAACAACAAAAATAATTGTGCCAGACACTGGTGTTTCACACTTGGAATCCTACCTACTCAGGTAGCTGACATCTGAGGATTACAATTCAAGGCCAGCCTGGGAAGACAAAATCCAAAAGACGATTTTTCCAATGAGCCAGCTGGCAGTGGAGGTATAGCTCAAGTGGTAGAGCACCAGCCTTGAGCAAAAAGCCAAATAAAAGCAAAAGGCCCCGAGTTCAAGCCACAGTACCAACACACCCAAAAGTATTATGTTAATTTCATTAATTGCCAGATTTACAATTCACAAATATATTCTTTTTGAGACAGTTTATTAGTTTTCCAAAGGTGCTCAAGTACACATAACTGCTGAGCAGTAGTAGACCGTCAATTTCAAAAGCAAATTTATTTTGAAAAAATCATTTTAAAAATTATAAAAATCCAAGCCAGGTGGCTCATGTTTGTAGTTTTAGCTACTTCAGGAGGCTGAGACATGGAGGATCACAGTTCAAAGCCAGTCTGGGGAGAAAAGTCCATGAGATTTCGTCTCTAAATAACTAGCCAAAAAAGAAAAAACTGATTCTCAAAATGTGGTTCAAGTGGGAGAGGATCATCCATGAGCAAGAAATCCAATCAAGAGGCTGGGAAGGTGGCTTAGTGATAGAGTGCTTGCATAGCATGCATGAAGCCCTGGATTTGATTCCTCAATACCACATAAACAGAAAAGCCTGGAAGTGGCATTGTGGCTCAAGTGGTAGAATGCTAGCCTTGAGCTAGAGACAAGTTCAGAGACAAGCCCCAGTTCAAGCCTCTGGACTGGGAAAGAAAGAAAGAGAGAGAGACAGAGAGACAGTGAGACAGAGAGAGAGAAAGAGGAAGAAAAGGAGGAGGAAGGAAGGAGAGGGAGGGAGGGAGGGAGAAAGAGAGAGAAAGGAAAGAAAGAAAGAAAGGAAGGAAGGAAGGAAGAAAGAAAGAGAGAGAGAAAAAGAAAGAAAGGAAGGAAGGAAGAAATAGAAAGGAAGGAAAGAAGGAAGGAAGAAGGAAGGCAAAGAGAAAGAGAGAGAGGAAGGAAAGAAGGGAAGGAGGGAAGAGGGAGGGAGGGAGGGAGAGAAAGAAAGAAAAAGAAAGAAAGAAAGAAAAAAGAAAGGAAGGAAGGAAAGAAGGAAGGAAGAAGGAAGGCAAAGAGAAAGAGAGAGAGGAAGGAAAGAAGGGAAGGAGGGGAGAGGGAGGGAGGGAGAGAGAGAGAGAAAGAAAAAGAAAGAAAGAAAAAAGAAAGGAAGGAAAGAAGGAAGGAAGGAAGGAAGGATGGAACCTAATCAAGTAGGAGCCTTTGCTCAAGATATGGTACTAACATCAAATAAACAAATAAATAAGTTTTTAAAATCTTTTCATGTATTGTTCATACTATAATTTTATATACATGAGGAGGAAAGACTTACAAGCTGGATACATGTTTATATGCTTATGATGTGACTTAGACTTACTTCTGTGTACTGATATTTTTTCTTCAAAATTCATGCGTTATAACTCTAGACCTATGTGGCTTTTTGTGGGCATATGGCTCTTAGAAAGTAAAGTTAAATGAGGTCAATAGGGTGAGATCCAGGTTTAATAGAACTGATGGACACATAAAAAGAGAAAGATGCACAGAGGAAAGGCCATGTGATATACTACAAGTCAGGAAGGGCTATCACAGAACCTAGGCTGGGCTGGCACTCTGACCTGGCACTTCTAGCCTCTTCAACTGAGAAAACTAAGTTCCCTTGTTTATTCCACTCAGACTTTGGTCTTTACTTATGGTAGCCCCAGCCAACCAACCCACCTATGAGTATTTGAGACTGTTCCTGAAGAAGCTACTATTATGTCTTGTTTCCTCTACCTCCATGTGAACCCCTCCCACCCAACGAGTACAACTGCTCCTCCCTGTAGGTCCACCATCCATTACACTATCCTGAAGCCTGGTGGGTGCATGACAAATATTTGTAAATTCATGTCTCTTCTGTGGTAATTGAGTCCTCCTCGAATGTTGCTCCTCTAACCTAAACTATGGCACTTGGACACTGTTTCATTCACTAGTGAAGCCTCAACTCTCATATGTACGTTAACAAAATAAAAGCAAAGGAATGCCTAAAATCTGTCTATATCCCAGCAGGATATATATATTATATATACATATATATACATATATATATATATATATATATATATATATCAGCACTATGCTAAGAGCCTCAACATCTCTGGTTTTAGTGAAAAGATATCTTAGGCCAACCACCTGGATTTGACATTTCCCCTGAAATGAACCATTTACTGCTTGCAGCCCTAGAATAGAAATTTTTTTGCTTCTATTTTGACAAGCTTATAATATCTTTTATCACAGCAAGAAAGCCTGTCTTCTTTCTATTCCAAATCAAATAACTAAGAGGATAGCACTCTCGTGTTAAGAATTTTAAAAAAACAAAACTAGTTACTGTGTGTGTGAGAGAGAGAGCATGCACATGCACCTGCCCATCCAATTTTGAGCTCAAGTTAAATTATATTCTTTCTTTAATATCTTACATCTTCCCACACTTGTCATCCTAGCCACTCAGGAGACTGAGATCTGAAGATGGAAGATCAAAGGTAGCCCAGACCAGACAGTTGGAGACTCTTATTTCCAATTAATCAGCAAGAAGCCAGATACGAGGCTGTCCTAAGTTCAAGTGCCAAGTCCTGTGTGTCAACACACACACACACACACACATACACACATCTTACATTGTTAGTGATTTTTTATATTAAAATGCTTGAATTTACCACTCACAGATCATGATTTACAATAATAACTACAACCATGTCTACTCTTCACTAAGCATCTTTTATGTGCCAGGCACTTAGTGGTCCCTTAGCTTTCTGGACAGCATTTCTGTATTTATCCCACAGAATCTAATACTGTTATGAAGAAGAAGAAATGGCTGTATCTGACAACCACAGAACTATGCTGTCTGTTTACCATCAAATTCAATAAATTCATCCAATCTCCATTTAGTGAAAAGAGCACACACTTTAATTTTTTATTTTATTTTAAATTTTATTGTAAGGGTGATGTACAGAGGAGTTACAGTTACATGAGTCAGGTAGTGAGTACATTTCCTTTTGAACAGTGTCACCCCCTCCCTCATTCTCTCCCAGTTTTTCCCCTCCTAACTTCCCTCCCTGCAAAGTTGTGTGGTTCATTCCCAACATCATGTCTAGTGGGTTTCACTGCTGAATTGGTTCATCCTTTGTCCAACCATTTCTGTGTTTCCCCTTCCTTTCCCCAAATCAGATAAACTTATATACAAGACAAAGGATACAGAAATTGAAAACAGCTACAGAGGGGGAAAAAAAGGAAAGAAGAAGAAAAAAGAACCACAAATGGTATAATTAAAAAAAAAACTCTTTTTTTTTTTTTGTCTTTTCTTTTTTGGTACTGGGGATCGAACCCAGGACGTTGCACTTGCTAGGCAAGCGCTTTGCCACTGAGCTACATCCCAGCCCAATAAAAAAAACTCTTACTTCCATTTCTTGGAGTTCATTTTGATAAGCATCATTTTATACGATCTTATGTACATAGCTGTTGAGCCCCTGTGATCCTAAGAATATCCTTTTTTCTCACTGTGTGAGTGTTTAGATTGCTGTTTAATCATGTCCAGGTGAAATTATTTGTCTTTTACTGTCCATTGGGTTTACTTGTAGATTTACAGGCACATTCTAGATATTACAAATGAGGGAAACCATGCTGCCTATGTTTCTTTGGGTTTGCTTACTTTGCTTAGTATAATTTTTTCCAAGTCTTTGCATTTTCTTACTAATGGGGCAATGCATTCTTTCTGATGGAAGCATAGGTTTCCATTGTGTGTGTGTGTGTGTGTGTGTGTGTGTGTGTGTGTGTATGTGTGTCACATTTTCTTGATCCATTCATCCATTTAGGGGCATCTGGGTTGATGGTTAGCTATGGTAAACAATGCTGTAGTGAACATGATTATGCTGGTGGCTTTAGTGTAACTTGGTTTGTGGTAAATCAGATAGATGCCCAGAAGTGGGACTTCTGTAATTAGTCTCCATACTGCTTTCCAGAGAGATTAAACAAGTTTACATTCCCACCAACAGTGTAGTAGTGTTCCCTTTTGGCCACATCCCTAGCATCTGTTATTGTTAGTTTCCTAAATAATGGCCATTCTAACTGGGGTGAGGTAGAATCTCAATGTTGTTTCGATTTACATTTCTTTTTATGGCCAGAGATGTTGAACATCTCTTCATGTGTCTATTGGCCATTCTAATTTCTTCTTCAGAAAAGTCTCTCTTTAAGTCTTTAGCCCACTTGCTAATGGGTGGTCATTTCTTTGAGGATTTGTTTTGGGGAGGTTTAATTTTTGAACTCTGAATGTATTTTAGGTATGAGGCCCTTTAGATCTTAGCCCTTTTGGTGGACTTTATAATTATTATCTTGCTAATTAGGTCTTTTGCCATACAGAAATGCTTCAATTAAATCAGTTTCATTTATCTCATCTTTCTTTGATTTGTTGTGATTCTGGATCTTTACTTAGGTAGTTTCTACCTGGAGCTCACATTTTAGAGTCAGGCATTCTAATTTTTTGGCCTTGGGAAAAAACAATAGCTCACAACCTTCCATTTTGGCATCTTCCTACATAAAGTTGGATTCTAAATACCCCAGCTCTACTAGCCATGTGTACGAAACCAGATTGTATACTTGGCACCACCTGGCGGGCATGCAATCCATGGCAGCTATTGCTATTACTGTAACTTTAGGACCTAGTATATACCCCAGGCAGTCTGTATAGCTTTCTGTGAAACAGAGACAGAATATCTGGGCCAATTTTTCAGTTGTCATAAGTTCTATCCAAATGCCTTAAAGTTTAGCCAGGGTGACTCTATTCCAGTTTTCCCAGGCTGGACAAAGTACTGAAAATCAAGCAGCCCCAGGAAAACCTTGAGAGGTGGTCATTCACACCAGGAGCAGAGGGAAGCTTTAACTCATGGGAGGCAGGAGGCTGAGTCCAGTCAAAGTTTGATCCACTCTTACCTAGTAAAGATGTTTCAGATAGACAAAAAGCACATCTTTCCCCATCTGTGTGTGTGTGTGTGTGTGTGTGTGTGTGTGTGTGTGTGTGTGTTACTGGGGCTTGAAATCAAAGCTCAGAAATATGCTCTTAGCCCTTTTTGCTGTATTTGTTCAAATAGGATCCCATATTTATGTCTAAGTCCATCTCTTAGTTATGCTTCCACATAGATTTGATAACAGGCATGTGCTACTGCACATTGATTAAAATGAGGGTCTCATGAACATTCTTCCTAGGCTAGCTACAGTGATCCTCAGATCTCAGTCTAATGAATAGCTAGGATTACAAGCATGAACAACTGTGCCCAGCCTTTTCTCATGTTAACATCATTCTGCTTTCTCCTTGTTCTCCAGTAGGAGCTAAACATTTTTCCCATTACATGGGAAAGGTAGCAAGGACTTTGCTCCAGACCCACTCTTCCTCCCCCTATCTCCTTATGAGCAAAGAATGGGGACATTGTCTTCATCCAAGGGGGGTATTTCAACTAGAGAGAAAAAGCTGAGAAAATTTCATCCTACTTCCTACCTGAAGTTAGGAATGCAATGTCTTTCCTCTTCAGATGATCTGAGTGAGAACAGCAGAGGTGAGGGGAGGCCCAGTAAGGACACACCATCAGGACAGCCGCAGAAGGAATGGGCAAGCCAAGACATGGGGAGAGTGTTTTCCCAGCACTTGGGCCTGTCCTCGTCCCTCTAGCAATGACTGATTCTAAAATCAGCTTCAATCCAGAGTGAAACAACTCTTTGAAAGAATGTTGCTCTGATATTCTAGAACCTGAGGTCATAACCATGCAACTGACAGACATTATACCTCTTTAAAGACAGACACACAGCTGGGCGCCAGTGGCTCATGCCTGTAATCCTAGCTACTCAAGAGGCTGAGATCTGAGGATCACAGTTCAAAGCTTGTCAGGGCAAGAAAATCCATGAGAATCTTATCTCCAATTAACTACCAGAAAACCAGAAGTGGAACTGTGGCTCCAGTGACAGAGCACTAGCCTTGAGCTGAAGAGCTGAGCGACAGCACCCAGGCCCAGAATTCAAGCCCCACAACCAACCAAAAAAAAAAAAAAAGATAGATACACATCTAAGAGCAAGTGTCTCTCACTAGTCTGAAGGAAGATGACAGTTGGAGATTCTGTGTAATTAAAGTAACAAGTAAATACATAACTTCAAATGACATTTTTATCAGCTGGACATGAGGGCTCACACCTGTAACCTCAGCTTCTTAGTGGGCAGAGAAAGAGGCCAGCTAGGGGAAAAAGTTAGCCACATTCCATCTCAATCCACAACCAGGCTGTGGTGCCAGCTCACAAGAGGTAGGTAGAAAAATCATGGTCCCAGGCTGGCCCTAGAAAAAAAAAATGTAAGACCTTTTCTGAAAAAAAAAAAAAAAAGCAACTAAAGTGAAAAAGGGCACATGGCTCAAGCAATAGAATACCTGCTAGCAAGGGTAAAACCTGTGTTCAAATCCTACTATTATCAAAAATAAATAAATATCTTTGGTCAAAATTTCTTCTTTTGGAAGAGTGTTGTTTTGGTTTTTGATTTTTGTTGGTGCCAGGATTGGGGCTTGAACAATGGGCCTTGTGTTTTCTTGTTGGCTTTTTCCACTCAAGCCTGGTATTCTTACTACTTGAGCCATTCCTCCACTTCTGGGTTTTGAGTGGTTAATCAGAGACAAGAATTTCTCCCAGGCTAAGATGAACCCAACATTCAGATCTCAGCCTCCTCTTGAATAACTAGGATAATAGACATGATCCACTAGGACCCAGCTAAAATTACTTTAATAAGTACCTCTGATAAACGCTGATCTAGCTAAATGCCACTAAGCATGACATGATCTGTCCTTGGAAAACTCAGAAACCACAGATTTCTGCCATATTATGTGGCTGGTCCAATTCAGAGAGATGAGATAAAGCACATAACTCACCCAAAAGCAATGACAAATTGTGTCATACTGAATCCATCTCATGAAAGTGGTCCCCTCAAATTTGAGCCATACCAGGTTGTGCCAGCCCTCTAAGATTTTTTTTAATTATAAAGGTGATGTACAGAAAGGGGTGACCATTTTATAAGTCAGGTAATGACTACATCGCTTTTTGTCAACCCTTACTTTGCTCTCTCCCACTTTTTCCCTCTAGTCCCTGCCCACAAATTGTATAGTTCATTTTTAGCACGGTGTCTACCGAGTCCCACTGCTGCATTTGTTCACCCTTTGGCCCACAATTTCTTTGCCCCCAGAAGCAGATAAACAAGACCAAAAATAACTCTTATCTCTATTCCTGGAATTCATTTTGGTAAATATTATTTTACATGATTAGAGGCACAAAGGCAAGACTTTTTATAATGTCTAGAAACCGCTGCTAGTCCAGGGGTTTCACAGGGATTCTATCCTACTCAGCTACATGGAAGTTGGGGAACAAATCAAAGCTTGCCTGGTAATAACTTCCTTCCTGCTTGAAATCCTCAGGGTCTTAGAAGCCCCCGCAATATGTCTCTAGGTAGGTCATACCTTTTGGAAGGATAGACTTCAAAAGCTTAATAACATCCCTGGAATACAAAAATTTAGGCAAGCTAGGCAGTACTGGCACATGTTTATAATCCTAGGTACTCAGGAAGCTGAGATCTGAGGGTCATGATTTGAAGGCAACCCTGAGCAGGAAAGTCCAGGATACTCTAATTTCCAATTAACCACCAAAAAACCAGAAGAGCTGTGGCACAAGAGGTAGAGCATCAGCCTTGAGTGAAAAAGCAAAGTACAGAGCCCACAGGTCCTGAGTTCAAGCCTCAGTACTGGCACATACACACACACACACACACACACACACACACACACACACGTGTGTGTACACACGGCACAATTGCAGATTGAGGGGTAAAATTTGAAATAATAATTCAGTATACATTAGACAGACAAAAGGAAACAATTACTAACTATACTATACATTTTCTCCATCAGACTCATAAAGAATAGTTAATGCAAGAGTATTTAACCAGTATAGTCAGAAAAAGCTTATGGCCACTTTCAAATCAAGATTTCTCAGACACAGATTCATAAAATTTGTCTCCATTGCAGAATTATGGGTGACTTCTCTATCAACTATCAACTATCTATCAACTATCAACTGCTATGTTTCTTCTACCATTAATCTATTCCAAGTGCTTCCTACCATGTCTGCTGCTCCACAATTTGTGCATCAATATGCGATACATGAAAATTCAGGTTATAAGAATAACAAAATAGGGTGGAATTTCTAACACGAAAGAGCAGTTGTTATGGGCCTCAGCAGGACTTCTAACACTGGGGAGAGGTTGCTACAGGAGAGCATCCAAGTGAGCCCCAATAACCTGCCTGCAATGCCCTAGTGATGCAATACTCCCAGGAGGGGTGCTCAACAGAACCCCATTAAACTGCTGGCACCTCTCTGCACACATTCCTCTCCCTTGGGACCTATCCCACCCCAAAAGCCTGCCTGTGCATCTCCGTGAGGTACCCTGACATCAACAGTGTCTGGAGCAAACCTGCACCAGCGGTAAGCACCCAGCCTAGCTGAAAGGCCCACCCACAGCGCAGGACACCACCAGAAGCCCACCAGAGACACAGTACATGGCATCCCATTATCACTGACCTTAACACCTGACCTGAACAGCCTCCACAAATCCTGAACCCAGATGCATAAGCCACAGGGAAAGCTCACAAAATCCGTGAAGAAGACAATCTGCTACTCTCAAAAACAAACAACTCATGCAATCCTAATATCAGATAAAATTGACTGCAAATTAAAATTAGAAGGGCTGGGATGGTGGCTCAGTGGTAGAGCGCTTGCCTTGCATGCTCGAGGCCCTGGGTTTGATTCCTCAGCACCACATAAGAAAAAAGCCGGAAGTGGCGCTGTGGCTCAAGTGGTAGAATGCTATCCTTGAGCTGAAGAGCTGAGGGACAGCTCCCAGGCCCAGAGTTCAGGCCCCATGACTGGACCAAAAAAATAAATAAATAAAATAAAATTAGTGAGAAGAGATAAAGAAGGTTGCTACAAACTAATCAAGGGATCTCTCCTTCAGGAGGATATTACAATTCTAAATATCTATTCGCCAAACAACGGAGCACCCAAATTTATCCAAGAAACACTACTTTCTCTCAAATCTCACATAGATCCAAAGACATTAATTGTTGGGGACTTTAACACACCACTCTCCCCACTAGATGGATCAACTCAGCAAAAACTCAACAGAGAAACTGCAGATCTAAACAACTGAATAGATCAACTAGATTTAACAGACATCTACAGAATATTTCACCCAGCAGCAACAGAATACACTTTTTTCTCAGCAGCACATGGAACATTTTCCAAAATAGACCACATTTTAGGTCACAAAGCCAACTTGTCCAAACATTCAGAAACATTGAAGTTATACCTTGCATTCTCTCTGACCACAGGGGAATAAAATTAGAACTCAATACCAAAAGCCACCAAACAAAGACCTGTAACACATGGAGGCTGAACAACACACTGTTGAATCACCAGTGGGTCATGGAAGAGATTAAAAAGGAAATTCAAATATTCATGATATGCAACAAAAATGAACACACAAATTACCAGCTCCTCTAGGACACAGCTAAGGCAGTACTCAGAGGCAAATTTATAGCTCTGAGTTCCTACATCAACAAATTGGAGAGATCTGAAATGAATAATTTGATGGGTCATGTGTTTTCTTGTTGGCTTTTTCCACTCAAGCCTGGTATTCTTACTACTTGAGCCATTCCTCCACTTCTGGGTTTTAACTGTTAATCCAAGATAAGAATATTTTCTCCCAGGCTAGATGTGAATCCAGCACTGAAATCTCAGCCTCCTCTTGAATAACTAGGCTAATAGGCATGATCACTAGGACCCAGCTAAAATTACTATGCTTTAATAAGTACCTCTAATAAACACTGGTCTAGCTAAATGTCACTAAGCATGACATGATCTTTCCTTGGAAAACTCAGAAACAACAGCTTGTTACATCTGAACCTCCTTGAAAAAGAGCAGCAAGATAAACTCCAATCCAGTAGACAGAAAGAAATAATTAAAATTAAATCAGAATTAAATGAATTAGAATCCAAAAAAACCATAGAAAGAATCAACAAAACAAAGAGTTGGTTCTTTGAAAAAATTAACAAAATTGACAGACCCTTAGCAAATCTTATTAGAAAAAGAAGAGAACACACCCAAATAAATAAACTCAGAGATGAGAATGGAAACATCACCACAGAAACAACCAAAATTCAGAACATTATAAGGGAATACTTCTCAAACCTTTATACTAGTAAGTTTGAGAACTTGGCAGAAATGGACCTTTTCCTAGAAAATATCAACATGCCAAAACTAAACCAAGATGAACTAAACCATCTTAACAGGCCCATATCAAGCATTGAAATAGAAACAGCAATAAGAGACCTCCCATCTAAGAAAAGCCCAGGACCAGATGGTTTTACAGCGGAATTCTACAAGGCCTTCAAAGCAGAGCTCACACCAATACTCCTCCAACTCTTCAATGAAATTGAAAGACAAA